CAGAGCCCACGTTGTAAACTGGAAGCTGGTAGCCAAATTCCACTAAGAAATTGGTTTAATTGTTAGGCACTAAACATTTTCAGATTTAGGTTTTAGAAGAATTATGGGTTCTGATGCTGATACATGACAAATCCCATGTCCAGCCCCTGTAGCCCCAGTACAATGGTCTCTTCCCGAGGCCCTATAACTCAGGCCACCTGCTGTCTCCTAAAGGCATCTCAGTCTGTCCCCTCAGACAGGGATGTCACGTATCAGGGAATTCTCCACAATGAGCCAGGGAGTTCTTGGAGAGGAAGGATGGAGCAAAATAAAAAACCCCAAAAGGCTGATACCAAAAGCTCAGGGGTTGGTGGACAGACCAACTTTGTCAACTGTCAGTTGTCACTGGAACTTGTTAACATCAAAATAGAATACAATTAACTCACGTGAATTTTGGAACATACAAATTATTGCTCTGAAACGTTTTTGCAGCTCCAGTTAGAAAGTGTCCTAACGCACAGCTGTGTGGGTGATAAAGACAGACTGTGTTCTAGAACTCTGAGTACAAATAATTTGATGAAATGAAAAACTTTAACCATAATTAAAATTCCCCACATACATTCCATTTCTATCACGGAATGCAGGGACCAGTGAATGAGACGGCAGGAAAAATTTGTGCACATTTTATCGTGATTTGAAATTCCCAAAAGGAAGAGTGACCCACAAATGTTTGATTGGGTTTCCAGCCAAAAACTCTAAGACAATTGAGTTTTAAGCCATCTGACTTCCTTGTTCATAAAACCACCACATCCCAACCATTGATTTCTAAACTCCTTGGAATGGAAAAAAAAAACAAAAAACGTAGCGCTATTCTATTCTGGAAAAAACTATAGAAGGTGTCTTTTACATCCCCATTATACTAAAATTGAATTTTTAATGTCCCTCATTGTAAGGATGTGTCATTATTGCTGCAAGGGGACAAGAATTAAATACATACGGGCTCCCTCCCCTAAAGCTGATAAAAAAACAATATCAAAGCTTGTCCAGCACCACCTCATTCTAACCCTTAGAGGAAGACTAAGGTGGTCAGGAAATGTTAAGGCCTTGTCACAAGTCCCTTGGGAAACCAACTCAATGACTGTCATATGTGAACATCTCATTTCACAGAACCAAAGGATGCTGGAGCTCAGAAGGACAGACCAGCTCCCTAACACATCCCAGGTGAGGGCCCTGAACCTGCAAAAGGTCAAAGCGGGACGCTGTGGTCTCCCACCCTCACCGGAATTCTTTCTGGGCTGTGCCTTTCAGCCGTTTAAGGGCTCAAAGTGCTTATTTCAACCTACCTGACGTTCACAGGGGAATTTGAACTATGTGAGATCACTCACTTCATAGTAGGCCTAAGTGCTAGTGTAGGGGGGGACAGACCTGCCCTTGGGTACAGCAGGCACCTCTGTGGGTCTGCAGCATGCCCCCTGGCCAGCAGCTCAGGCTCCAAAATCGTGTCCAGGCTAGAATCTGAATTGCATTCACTAGTTTATGTTTACTAACTGCCGGTTTCATGCTACCTATTGTAATAATCTCAAAAAAGTAAAAAATAAAAAAATAAAAAGAAAAATGACGCCCTAGCTCCCAAAGGGGAGAAACAAAGGCAGGCAAATTACACTTGCGGAGTGTCCACCATGGGTCAGAAGTCAGGATTAAAGTTTACTCGTTTATCAAGATGCCCCTTGATGGGCGTGTGCTTCCGATCTAATCCAGGAGGTTGGTCCCTCTCACTCAAGCCCAACCAGAGCTACAGGACAGGGCAGGAGGAGTGCAAAATACACAGACAAGTGACAGCCTGCAAGAGGTCCCACAAGGGAGACCTCAGGACCGGCTGGGTGAGCAGGAAGGCAGGGGCCGAGTGTCAGTGAGAGGCCCTCAGAGAAGGTAGAGGGGTGGGAATGCTCACACTCTCTTCAGGAGGGAGGGAGTGGCCCATCTGCTGTAGCAGGAGAGGTCAAAAGGACCTAACAGGGATATAGGTGAGGACCCAGATTAAGAGCCTCCTGCAGTGCACTGAGGAGGGGGACTTTATTCCCCAGAGCACAAGGCCAGCCTTGCCTGTCAACAGTTGCTTTAGACACAGCACTTTTGATGTGCAGCTTGATCAAACTACCCACTTGGCCATTAACCCAAAGAAAGAAACCATTTCCTGCTTAGGAATGCCCAGCTATGCCACGAATGGGCAAGGCCCGCGCAGCCTCGGGGCGATGCCTTGAGCCTCTGGAATTTGATGTGTTCTTATTGTTACAGTCCACCTGGAGCTGCCTGCAGCTCAGAAGGCTGGCCGGCTGCAGAGGACTTGAACGTGCTGTCCTCTCAAACCACCTGCCAATTATGCACAGGCCATGCCCCCACATTCTCAGCTGGAAAATGTGCCCAGTGATCTGCAGCCTTCTGGTGGGGGAGCCGTCTGTCTGAGGAAGGGCAGTGGCTCCCTGGTGTCACACACAGCTCTCTCCGACCACCCAGGAGCAGAGAGCAGCTCCCTCCCCGAGCCTGCACCACACAGAGAGCACTTCGGAGGCAGTGAAGTTCACCCTGTGCTCATAGAATGCGTTGTGCTTGTTTAACTGCCCAAAGAAATAGAAGAGTCGGGGTAAATATGAGGAACCTGAGGCTTGGTCACGCGGAGGTGCCCACCCGAGTTCCCAAAGTGATGCTAACACCCATTTGGAACCTTGGTATTATCTTTCCAGGACGGTGGCACAAATGAGGCTGCTGAAGCCAGATGCCTGCCTGGAGTCCCAACTCACTCTTCTGCAAATGAGCAAGTTGTTTAGAAGGTGGGAATTTGGGATTCTTGTATTGGCAGATGGAAATACTAAATCTGCCTGCCTCACAGAGCTGATTGTGGGATTAGAACAACAGGGCTTCTCAGCCTGGGCACAGCTGGCATTTGGGGACGAGCGAGTCTGAGGCATGTAGGCTGCCCTGTGTGTGGTGACACGTGCAGCCGCACCTCCTCGGCCTCTCCCCTCTGGACACCAGTAGCACCCTCGGCAGCCAGCTGCAAGAACCAAACTTGCCTCTGGACATTGCCAAGTGTCCCTGGGGAAGAAGCAAAATTACCCTCAGCTGAAAACCACTGAATTAGAGCGAGTGAGGTTTGGTAAGGCCCAGAGCAGCAGGGCTGTAAACAACTGGCAGCAGCCTCATTTACATTGGGCCCCCACCACCACCCAGCTGGCCTCATCCCAGCCCTGGTCCTCTTATTTTTCTGCTCTCCCCAGTCTCTTCCTACCAAAGAGCTGCTCCAATTGGTTTCTCTTGGGTTTTAAGCTCAAAGGTCTTAAAGTCTAGATACACAGATTTCTTTTTGCATTTGTACAGTCCTGATATGTTTATTTTAATAACTTCACAAAAAGGCCGGGATTTTTTTCCTACATAATATGTATGTTTCCATGGAAAAGCTACAGCACTTCCTCCATCACTTGGTTTCACTGGTCAGACCTTGTTTCTCCGCAGCTTCACTTTCTAAATTATAATGTGAAAGCGGATCGAAAGCTCGAGGTAAATTCCGGTGATTTTTGGACCTATTGAAGACGCAGCAGAGCAGTTTAAACATGAAGGGGGTTGCCGTAACTTACACTCAATAATGTAGCTCCTTATAATATAAACAGCTCAACAAAGGAGCCCCCACACACTGCACACCTACTGTGTGAAGACAAAGCAATACAGTGGGGAAAATATACAGTCCCCACTTTCGGGGAGGTAAAATTTTGCATCCTTGTAGATGGCTCTTTACTGAATTATGCTTTTTCAATATCACATACAGCCCTAGGGGATTGATTTGGACACAGTTGTGAACTGAACAGTTGTATCCCCCCTAAAAACTGCTATGTTGAAATCCTAACCCCAAGTGTCATAGTGTTAGGAACTAGAGTGTTTAGGAGGTCATTAGGTCCTCAGAGTGGAGTTCTCAGGAGTGGGGTCAGTGCCCCTAAAAATTGGACCCCCCCAAAAAATAGGACCCCAGAGAGCTCTTTCTCTCCACAGTGCAAGGATACGATGAGCAGACAGACACAGCGATCCAGGAGGGACACCCTCAGCAGATGCTGAAAGTGCTGCCACCCTGACCTTGGACTTCTCAGCCTCCAGAGTGTGAGAACCACATTTCTGTTGTTTAACCCAAGTACCTGTTACAGCAGCCTGGATGGACTGAGAGACTCAAGAATTGGCAAAACCTTCTAAAACACACTCTTTTCTCATAAAATTGTGGGAGTGATTTTAATTAAAGGATTGTTGGATCTAACAACATCACAAATGAATTAACGGGCTGCCAGCTGCTGCTGTGAGAACATAGGAGGGCTGCTAATAAATGTTAGAGACCTGACAGACAGTAACCCAGGGAGTGCTTGAGCTTCACGGAACAGAATCTAGTGTGAGTGTCAAGAGCTCTGCTCTGGGTGAACCTGAGCAAGATGCTGATGTGCCCCGGACCTTGGTCCCCTGCAGTGAGAGGGTGGAATGATAAGAAGC